GAGATAAACAACACAACCACATAAATGAAATCTTCACTAAATTAACAGCTCTTAATCTTGTACTAGAATATGATCAGCTCATTATATTCTCATAGTTAAAATAAATCTACCTGGCATGTTTCAGGATTAGGTTCGTTCCTCCAAGCACCTCGAAGAAGTCGAGCATCATCAAAGTTAAAACCCTTGTCGCGCACAGTGTTTGATGATTTGTGAACCTATGAGAATATAATATCATTAAATAATCCAGAGTTACAAATCGAACTATATCTTTCTCCAAGGTGAGAGCATCTCCAATAGGCTGTCTATTCTTGCTCAACTCTCTATTTTAGAGAGTCACCCACAAAAAATAAAGCTCCAATAAGCTCTCTATTTAGACTTAGCTAAAATAGAGAGCCTTATTTGGCTCTCTACATTTGAAGAGTCCAACTCACTCTCTATTCTATTTTTAATGAATGACAAGGTGACGCATATACATTCTTCAGTAAATGTTATTGACTATTACGACTATTTTTTTCTCTAATAGAGAATCCCATGGCAGTTGTCAAAATATTTCACTCACTATTTTAAAATTTTATCAAAGATTCTCTCTTTCAAAAAAAAATGCTCTCTAAAATAAAGAGTACTATTGGAGATGCTCTAATGATTGCTAAATTTACCTCAAACTTTATGCCATTTCGCTGTGCTGTTCCCATCTCAATCTCACTGACACCAGTGCCATATGCTTCTCCTCCAATTGAACACTTAAAGAACTCCATCATATTTCTTGTTAGAGTTCCAGTTTTATCAGAAAATATGTATTCCACCTATCAAAGAAGAAATTTACTGTGAACTTGCACAAGCTGATTTTGACAAGTAGCCACCTAGAAGTAAATTAGAACAGGGATATCATAAAGCCCTCCAAAGTTTTATCCAATATGTAAAATTGTAACAGCAAATGTTTCAGAAGCACTATATAAGAGGAAGTCAACAAAGGCATTGTTTTTACCTGTCCAAGTTCCTCATTCAAATTGGAAGTCCGTGCTGACGCAGGAGTATTGGTTTCAACATGGTACATGCACAAATCATTGTTGATAAATTGGGTGGACTGAATAAATTTGATCATCTGTGGAAAATAAATGGAACTGAACCCTCGAACTAAAGTTATGCACAGCTCGATGCAACAGATAAATGAACTGTTCTTGCATGTACCTCAATGGAAACATAGAGGGAGATGGGGATAATTGGTGAATAAAGGGTAATTAGTGTAAACATATTCAAAGCAGTCACCTGTAAGCAAAAAAAAAAAAAAGAATCAATGGGTTAACAAAAAAAAAGGAAAAAGCAAAAACAAACGAAAATGAACTTATTTCAGGGGATTCCTATGATTACCAAAAATCTATTACTGGGATTAATGTGCATCACTTTCAGCAAACTGCAAATAGTAATACTTCCGGTTCACAAATATTCCACTGCAGAATTTCAAGTAGCACAAAACACATAATTATAAGGCCCAATTTACAAAGAAATGTGGAAATTCCACAATACAACCAAAACATCTAGTAACAATAATCTTGGAAAACCAAATAATATCAATCGATAGAATTAAAAAAGTTTACTTTCCACGTAATTTTCATCACTGAAATGATTGCTCTGTTCTATACAATTTTGACAGCTGGGAAAAAAATGATTGCATGTTCTCGAGAATAATGGACTTTATTCCACAAACACACTCATTATATGTCATCTTAATTACAAGAAAACATCCAAAGTATTAGTTTATCATCAATAAATTAATTTTTCTCATAATTAACATGAAATAGATATACATATACGCACATTATTTTCAATTTTAATAGATAATAGTCTAAAAGGATTCAATTTTTTCAATTATAAAGTAATAGAGAGAACTAAGTATCCCTGATGGTTCCAAGTCATATGCATCATAGAGTTAATAATGGACAGAGACTATTAAGTTCAAAGAGGATCAACTATGCTAGAGTTATAAACTGGAAAAGACACTATCCAATAGTCAAACCTGCCTATGGCGCCCAAGAGACACATACAGAAGAGAACACTAACAAGAGTGAGTATAAGTTTGTCAAGTTTCTTCTCCAAAGTACTTCTTTTGGAAGGAATCTTCATGGCATTCATCATAACCTGCAATTAAATCAAGGGAACCATAATAAAAGTGAGTTGAAGACATGAAGCAAGAAACAGGTCCAAAGCCAGAAAGATCAAACCAAATACATTAATGCAGCATATTAGTCCTCTATAAATGTTTCTGGGACCTAATCTCAAGTAAAAAAATGATCCAGTAAATTCTAGTTAAATGACAGCACTAAATAAAACCATTATTATGATGAAAGAAAACCTTTGTTTCATGCCCAGTAAAAATGGCAGCGCCAACTATGTACTCGGTGTTCTTGAGACTGCATCCCTGGAAACATTAAAACCAACCATAGATGAGTAAAAGTGAACTTAAAACTCCAATAAGCAATCATATTAGAAAAATGGATTTAGTGTCCACCCTAGGGGGAAAAAAAAAGATATAGCCAACTCAAACAAACATACACCAAAATAATATTCAAGCAATTAGATGTTTATAAGCACATGAAAAGCTGGTTTAGCGGATTAAAGAACTAAAGTAAACGCTAATAGAGAAGGAGAAGAAGAAGAATATGGGATGTCATACTCGCAACAGCATTAGATTTGGACTGAGAGGTAAGGTCTGATTTTGGATTATGAGATTGCCAGTGAAAGTATACAATGAATTGTTTGGTTGCTCACATTGTACTTCGCCTGCAATTAATTAAAGAATCCCCATCAGAACAAGAAATGAGAAAAGAAGGAAACCATGGTATCCATATGCATGCATCATGACGATGAACACTAGTCAGCTAGATATTATCCAAGTTTTTCCGACTCTATAAAACTCAAAAAGGCCTTGCCCCCCACCATTTTAAGCGGCTATTTTAATCGTGTTTCACCATTCTACTCTTACTGGGGAGTATTAGTTCAACCACATGCTATCATGACTTCCCCCTCAGAAATCAGAACACCTCCACCAATATTAACTAGCTTCCTACAAACAAATTTTGACTCTATGAACAAAAATCATACTTGCATGTTAGAGCTTGTCCCATATCCCATGCTCATGGGTGTCCATCAGCCCAGTAAAACAGACTATGCATTTTTTTTCATAGGTGAAAACCAATTACACTATTCATTTGACAAATAAATTAAAATTGAACTCCAAAAGTCAAATTTTATTTCGAACAGGAGAACACTATCTTCTTTAAGTCGCAAGTTGAATTAGTTGATTACAATAAAGCATAGATGGAGAATTATATCTCATGCGGAACAACGAATTGTTCATAACTTCTGATTATCTCAACTTCGAAGGAAACCACCGAGAAATTATAGAAAGAAAACAAAAATCTTTTTGACTAGTAAAGAAAAAAGAATGTCAATATGATAGAATGTGAGTTTCCTTGAGGAATCTATGCTGTTTTGAGGTGAGAATGCCAAAGGTTTGATGCTTTGGGAGGGGGAAAATGGGTACAAGAAAAGAAGAAAAAGGGGTCCAATGGCTGATTAGGCTTATGTTGTTTTTTATGTGACCGTGGTCAAAATGGGACATCTATATAGGTGCTCTTTAATGCCAGGAAGGTAAATAACAGCATACTATGGTCCAATAGCACAAGGCTAATCAGTAGATCTACAGAAAGGCAAAACCTTTGAAATCTGATACTTTCTCAGGAGTCACAAAGTCCCAGGTCTTTTCTAATGCTTTTCTGATCTTTAAATTTGTTTCACCATCCAGATTTGCAGTCTGTGATACAACAGGAAAAGGGAATTAGTATACACATATGTGTATATATATAAAGAGATGGAGAGGGAGGAAGAGGAGAATGAACACAAGAAAAGAAAAACACAAAAATAGATATCATCAAAATGAAACTTTGCTCTTTTTAACACATCCATGCCCATCCCTCTTGTCCCCCATTTAACAAAAATAGGGGGAAAAAAAGAAGGATTCTTCAGACAAGTCAAAGTGCAAATGAGAGACCTCAACGTAGCAGACACCATCTGGGTTCGTGCTAGCAAGGAATAGCAGATCTGCAGGAAAGAATCCATCCTGCTTAACCTGCAAACAGAGCAATATGTTCAGCTTTATAGAACTACAAATCCCTTAAGTGGCGAAGAATGAATAAATGAACAGACAAAATAAAATCCCTAGCAATTATGAGAGAACTGGAAACCAATGAAGAAATCTATTACTTTAGAGCAATTTAGGCACTGAAATTGAAACTTAGCTTTGCCTCTTTTTGGTCTGTGCAATGCTGTTGGCCAACATATACTCCTAGAAAACAAAAGAAGTACAAAGGGAATTGTTGTATATTTTTTTCCTCTCTGCATTTCCAGAAGCATATATACACCAGATCAATATCATCCAGGGAACTCTTGTGGGAGCGGAAGCAACGACAGTGTTTGGGGACCAAAAGTCCAAATACACAGATATCGCATTGAATACTTCAACTACTGAAACTGAAATGAACTACAGATATCGCGGAAGGCTTGATTAAGCTTTCTTATCGAGACTTGTTAGAGCTATCTATTCCTTCCTTATCTTCTCTCTTTAACAAGCTTTCTTTCTACAGATAAGTGACAATAGATCGACGAAACTCCAGGTTGACTATCAGACAGTCAGCAATCAGTTGATGTTAGGCCTGCCTATACAAGGAGCTGACAGGCGTACACCACAGGAGATATCATCCACAGAATCCTTTCCAGGAGCAATAATGTTGGTCTGAGGACCCAAATGAAAAAAAAAATTATCCAATGTTAGGCTTGCTGCTTGCCAATGCAGGATGCTGGCAGGCATATACCATGGGAGACAAATTACACTGAACAGCTAAAAAGGGTGTTCTTTTATAAAGGTGGGTATGCCACCTTTAAAGAAGTACAACCTCATCCAGCTTACATAATCTCTTTTCAAACCTCTTAAAAAAAAGATGGTGCATGAAACTCCAACCATTGTGGAGCTTAGGGAGGATCACAAGTACACAGTCTTACAGCCGAAATACAACCTCATCCGGCTTACATAATCTCTTTTCAAACCTCAATAAAAAAGATGGTGCATGAAACTCCAACCATTGTGGAGCTTAGGGAGGGTCACAAGTACGCAATCTTACAGCCCCAAACAGGGGTTGTTTCCGCATCTTTTTTCAAACATCTCCACCAAAAAACCTTAAGTAGCATGGACGGAAGATCCCAATAGCAACCCCAAATAAGGATTAAGAAAGAAAAACTTACATCCCAAATGGGCCACCAGTTTATAGAATCATGTCACCATTTTGTTGTTTTTTTTTTTTTTTGGGGGAGGGTGGGGGGGCGTTATGAGCGAAAGACAGACAACCATGACCAGTCACACGAACCTCACTGCCTCCTTTTACTCTTTCAATTTGCGCATAGCTGAGTCACTACAAAATGTATGTGTGGGCAAGGCATTGGACAAAGGGATAGGCACACTTTGCACCTAGAAAATATGAAGACAATGATTCTAGAAAGTGTGCATCAAAGAGGAGCTTTTACTTCCTGTCACACAAAGTGGCAAATTTCATGAATTCCTCAAAAAAATTTCAATGAAATAACTCCCGACACAAGGACTGCTAGCCAATCACAAAGCCCCACACAAGGACTTCTAGCACCATCATTATTAGCAAGGATAAATATGAATGCACTTATGGAAAACAACTTCTCTACACAAGGGTGGAGCCAGAAGCTTGAACAGCTTTCTCCACCAGCGGCTTATGTAGTGGTCGGCATTCTATAAGCGACTTGTCGAGTCTACAAAGCTTTGCTTCTTGTATTTGGCTCATAATGCCAGGTCAAACTCTTGGCTCTATTGATGACTCCATCTAAAATAAAGAAAATAGGGACAGCCGTTTCCGGCCTCGTATATTGAAAAACGTAGGACTGTCTTTAAGTGATAGGGGTCAGGTCAATAATAGTTATGATATTGCCCTACTGATTTAAGGCCTTCGTCCAATCCCGAATACGGGAGGAGTTTTCCCAAATCGATATCACCGGAACAAAATAATAGAGTGGGCACAATTAAATATGTCTAAATTTTATTTCAAAAAATACATATCTAATATCAAAAAAAAAAACTTACAGGTGGGCACATAGCCCATGGGTGGCTTCGCCCTTGTATGTCTGGTAAGGCTGCAACGTCTAACCCTCCCCAAAATCAGAAGTGGCGAGAATTTTGTGCGTTAGGACACATATGAAATGCACGAGAGGATGAAAAAATTTGAATATTACGTAGCATCAATTGTATAATATGTGGGGGTGAAATTGTCATCGTTAATAGTGTAAAGTAATTGTGCAAATGAAAAGTCATGTCGTGGAAATAAGAGTGCTCATTGGCATACAATAGACTTAAAGCAAAAAGACAACCTAACCAACCAGCCAATTGAAGAAACAAAAATTTGCATTAGTCTGCATCATATTTAGCTTTAATCATAAAAAAATTGAAGAATGCTTACATAAATAAAAAAATCCCTATGACAACAGCAGCAGCTGCAAACTGTAAGGCCCAAAGACATGGAAGGAGGTTGATTGATAATGCATCACCAAGATGACAATCATGGATACTAGAGGAATTTTGTGGACATCAAGAGGCTAATAATATAATCCTAAAAAGCAAATCAATGTTAAAGGAAAAAAAACATACGTACTCTGACAATATCTCCAACCTGCAGCTTCTTCCAGGGCACAGCTTCCCACTTCTGATCTTGCAACACGTCTATAGAAGAATTATTGATTGCCATATCATTTTGAAAACGCTTCTGTAACAAATAATTTGGGGAAGGGGGAGAACACAAGTAAGAGGTGTAAGCAATTTTTCCAGACATCCATAGTCTAATTGAGATAAATTTGAATAAATCCAGGACGTAAGTTAACCAATAATGAAATTCAATGAAGTATTTTCTTGTAATCATTGCCTAAAGAAATAGATGGTCACTAGTATCTGAAAATGTATGAGCTAATCTTACTCACCCAGTCCTCCCACGCCTCCTTGATAAGAGAAACGAGAAGCACCAGACACAAAGGGACTACATTCGTAACTGGACTAACAGGACTGCATGAAATGAAAACTTTTTCAGGAGCAGATGCAAAAGAAATCAAAAAATAGTTCCTTAGAACTCTTAAAGATCATTAGCCCTCATACAAGTGTTAATATATCCAAAATCAAAATGTGAAAACAAGAGCAGGATATGAATGCAGAAAGTGAATGTTCATACTTGGGAAAGTGTGCATTAGAAAGAAGAAAAGCAGCAGTGAATAAGCATATATATAATTTTAACATAAAGTAACAGGCATACATAGAAGAAAGACCTACCAGAAGAGCAACAATAAAGGACCTAAAAAAATTCATGTCGTCAACTATTTCAGCCTTATGTAATCAGAGTGATTCCACAAAACCATAGAAAAAGATTCCTATTAATCAATAAGTGCTTCAAGTAATAACAGATGAGTAAATTCAGCTCATGGAAAAAAGAAGAACTCTTTTTTTCTGAAAAAACAAAAAGGCAACATGCAAAAAAATATCATATGAAACCTAAACAACAATATCACACTTCAAACGTGCTCTAATCCACCTTGGAGGCATGGCACATTTTCTGTGCAAGTGTTTTCCCACTGGCTACACATTATGTTAATACTGGCAACAATTAATTTGTTATCTGATTAACAGCACGGAGCCACCCCTTCAGCCCATTATATTGCAAGCACATATCATAAAAACTATATTGGCATGGTGTACCAGATAAACTGGCCAATCAGATAAAAGATAAGACTGCTCTAACAAAGACGTAAGCTCATTTCAATCAACCATGCCTTAATACAAAATACTGATATTTACTATGAATTGTTACCTGACTGGAGTGCACGATATAACAGAGATCACAAGGAAGTAGAAGTTGGCTACCCGATGGAACTGTCAAAGAAAATATTCTTTAGATAAAAACTGTAAACATATCGGGTTAGCAAAACTATTGCGTTAAATTGGATTCAAGTTGCATCAAGCATGAGGAACCAACACGTAATCTTGACAACCAACCCAAAACACTTTCAAATTTCAATAATCTATTATAGGACTAATCCGAAGAAACATATGAACAATGAAATGCAGATTTAGTTTTTACAAGTTTTGTAGGCATACTCCACTCCAAAAAAAAAAAACCACAAGGCGTTGAGGATGTATTTCCAAATGTGTTTTGTAAATATGATTTTTTGGGGGGCTCTTAAGTGTCCAAAAGGTTTTCACCAAATTAAACTTCTCAGAAGTTTCATCCTAGCTCCAAACAGGTTTTGCACAAAGAAAATGAAAGAATGGGGACTGGGTTACTGGCAACTATGCCTATAACCTAGAGACGCCCTGCAAATATATTGGGGAAAAAGAGATAACAATCAAATGGATAGTCTATCCTCACCTCTGACCCAGCCCAAACACATATAGCAAGGAATAGGAGTTAGAACTGAACAAACAGGATCTTTCAGGCATATTGACACCAGCATATTGGCTCCATCATAAGGCACACAAGACCAATAGCAACAAATCTATTTAATTGTACTTATAGCTGAGAGGTGTAGAACCAATTTACCTGTTCAAACAATCCCTTTGGTAAAAAAGTAAGAATGTCATACTTTGTAGTTGATACAGAATTACCCTGAAAGGATTAATCCCCAACAAATTAAAACAAGATTCATCCAAAGTAAAACAGGTAGGAAGTGACAAAATAAAGTGAAGCCAAGTATAAATGGATCTAACTTTTCTAAGTACAACAAACCATATTGTCTCTTCTAAGCATAACTTCAAAACTTCCTCTCACACAGCAATTAACAGATTACTCTCAAGTCTCAAGTTCCAAACATGACAAGACACTCAATTTCTTATTAACCATATAGATTTTTTATTTCTTTTTTCTGTAATTATGTGCTATCAAGCAAAATTGCACATGTAAACTACCAATGTGCACATCCTGTGTTGTTTAGCATGGCCAATTTATAGGCTCTTGGTTTGTTAGAAATAAGCAACTGTTGAACATCATATATACAAGCAGACAAATATGTAGAAGTTTCTCAGACCACTGAACCATTGAACAGTAAGTAGCCCAGATGGTACAATGAGTGATAAAAAAAAAACACCCATTTTAGTTCTCACTAATGGATCTTTTGGAGGTGTAGATTGGTTGTACAATAATTGTTATTCCCCTTGTTAGCCATACACCACATCGCCTTCCAGCCCGCCACTTTATGCCTATCAGATTCACATGCACTACGAGTTTTCCCCAAAAAAAAACCCTCCAAAAAGGTCATGAAAAAAAAATTCTGTATGTCCCCTACAAAAAAATCCACTGACCGAGACAACCTGATACCCACAAAACCAATATGGTCAGGAAAGCATGTTTTGATTTTAAACATCAGTCACTCCTCACCCTCTAACGACCTATGATTTCTTTCCTTCTAGATGCAACATCAGTCACCCCTCACCCTCTAACGACCTATGATTTCTTTCCTTCTAGATGCAATGAAAAAAATCAAGGGGGCAGCATCCCAAACATCTTACCTGCAATAACCTCTCCCAGTACCACCTTCCAGAAAAAAAAAAAAACTTCTCCCAGTACCAGACCAAGCCTGATGTAAACCCATAACTGAATAGGCTTAACCAAGGCATTACAGGAAAGGGAAAAAAGGAGGTCCCACACCTCCATCAGCACCCTGCAGTGGAGCAGAAGGTGATTGACTGTTTGCTCTCTTACACATGCGGCACCAATTTGGGATAATGTTCACCTTAGAAATTATGTTCTCCAAAGTCAATATCTCCCTTTTTTTTTAAAAAAAAAAGAGAGAGAGAAAGATTGCACTACCCAAAAACAACATTAAAAGGTACTTCCTCTTCCCTCCAATCCAAAATAAAATCACGCTATCTTGAACTCACCGAACCATCTTTCTTCCTCTTATAAAAACAACAAGAGCAAGCAAGTGGAATGGGTTGGGGCTGCTTATATTTACTCTGTCATACTCCAATCATTGCAACTCATTATCAATCATTACGCTTCACCACTGAGCATAAATTGAGACCTCCATAAATCTTGAAATCAAACTCAGTTTTAATTTAATAAACAACGCCAAATCCCTAAACCCAAATTTCCATTAAATTCATCATCAACTACATAAAAATGAAAATTAAAAAAGTATTATTGTTCCTCTTCAATTAAACATATGCAAGTGTGTACTTATAAGTGATGTTGAAGAGAAAAGCAAAACAATACGAAGCATGACCAAACGGACCTCGAATTTGGTCAAGAAGTTGGCTTCGCGATCATTGCAGAAGATGGTGCGGTGACCAGGAGCCTGAGGCTGGACACCGCCGAGTCGAACGGTTCGAGACGTGGAGACACGGTCCGACAACGGAGAACCGGGCCCACCTAAGCTTGATCTAGATCCCCTCCATCCGGACATTTTCTCCGACAATCCGTCAGATCGAGCCGGACCGAACAAACAAACAAAATCAACAAGATCTTCTACGATTTGCAGAGAAAAATATTCGATCTCGTGTCGTCCTTCCTATTTTATGTTCAATTTCTGTGTAGTGGAACGAAGAAATCTTAGATGAATTTGAAAAGACGGAGGGGCTTTGTTCTTTGCCCTCTTCGTCTTTTATATGATGGCCTCCGACGATTATAAGCCCGCGTTAAGATTTCTACTACCTGCGCTAAATCAACCTGTATGGGAAAAGGTGCCACGCCCTATGTAACGCGTGGATCGGTGTATTTAGAGCAATGATAAATTTATTTTGGGATCTAATGATGTGATTTTAATGTAATTATTAAATTAATTATGAGTTTCAATATTAAATGAAGCCCATAATCAATTTAATGATTGTATTGAATTAAGTCCTAGATTATATTCAAATAACATTTTCTGTGTATTTATTATAGTGCTACCAATATGTCGGATCAAATGTTACTCATCTGCGCGTGGGTTGACCAAAAATCGAATTTAGGAAATCTATCTTTACAATATAGATAAAATTTTAGTCACATCTTTTTTTAGTTTATGATATTTTCAAAAACACTTCTCTATGCTTTGAATTTTTACTCACCCCAGTTAGATTAAAAATGTTAATTTTAATATGATTTTATTAAATTATCTATGATATATTTGAAAAAGAACTTTGTCTACAAACTCTCTAGAGGGGCATATCGTCAATGAGACCTATTTTATTTTCTAAATTTTTTTAAGTATTAAAATTCTATTTTAGTTAATTAAAATTTATTTTTCACGTATTAAAATTCGAGTTGATAAAAAAATTATATTTTTTACGTATTAAAATTTAAATCAATTAAAATTCTATTTGAGCCGTTTAAAATTCATTTTTAGTCGATTCGATTCAAATCAAATTCATCTTTATAGTAAACTATAAAGAGCATAATTTAAATTTTTCTTTGAGTATATTTATAATATGGCAAAGATACTCGAGATATATATTTAAAAAATGATAGATATATGCTATTAATACTTTTAAGATGCTACATGAATACTTTAAAGCTAAGTATATATTATGTTATCTTTTTAGAAAAGAGTTTATTGAAGTAAACAGGTATGTTAATCGTATCGAATGATGTAGTTCGTGTTGGGTCTTGACGGATTCATACAAAAAAATATTTTATTCATATTTAATTAATTTATTAATTTATATTCAATGAGACATATCATATAGGTTTCGTATTATTATATATAAATTGTATAAAAACGATATATAAACGAGTCATATTATATTTTTTATTAATTTAAAAAAAATTATTTATTAATTATGCCATGCTGAGCCCATTCATTTACAAAATATGTGATTTATAACAAATTCTGGATTTGGAGTTTGACTTGTTTGTACACAACGCGCGACAGAAAGCGGCGGGATTCAATGGGTGTAATGAAAGAAGTTTATTCGTTGAACTGCATGTGGTGAAGGGCAATCAACGAGACGACGTCGTGTGGGAGAATATTCTCCGACGGCTGACCGGTTTTGTGAACTAAGTGGGGAGTTAAATTTCGGGTAGTGAAGATGTGACGGGTAACGACTCGCAGATTATGAACTGGCCTCCGAAATTTTGGGACTGGGATGTTTTATGAACAACCTTACATGAATTTAAAATATAAATTTAATTAATTATTGTAATTATTTATTACTGATTTAAAATACAAATATTTAATAAATGATTTAAAAAATCAACTTGTGAGTCCCGATAACTATGTGTTGTGGCACCTTGTGTCCCCCGTCACCTGTTATCTTATACAAGCTCAATATTTACCTCCACCTGTTATTGGACTATATGACACCGGCCAACATTCTGGGTTATGGAAGAAAATTTGTTTTCACCTATTTCAGTATCTCTATTTGAATTTTTGCCCCTAATCCGTTTAAAGTACTAAATAAGGTTAATGCTCCGTTTGGTACGATGAAAAAGTTAGAGAATGGAAAGTTGGAAGGATAAATAAAATATCATGTTTGGTAAGAAAGAAAAACAGGAATGATGAAAAAGTTTATGGATTAACTTTCCTTCCAACTCACCAAAATCAATCTCTAAAAAATCAGAAGGAAAATAGATGAAAAGTTAATTATTTGTGTTGAGATGTATCTTATTTCTCTATTAGTTATTGTTTGTGCCTGAAGGCACAGAGTAATAAAAAATGGTAAACAATAAATATATTTGTATTCATATCTAAAATCAATTCGCAAATATAGAGAAAAAATAAAAAAATTTAAACATCGATTTGTAGTGGGAGTAAGAGATAGTGGGCAATAATAGTGGTGGTAATGGCGGCGACGACGGTGGTGGTGGTGGGAGCAGCGGTGGGGGTGGCGACGATGGTGGTGGCAACAGTGGTAGTGGCGGTAATGGTGGAGATAGGGGTGGTGGCGATTGTGAGGGTGGTGGCAACGGTGGTGATGACGGGGCAGCGACGACGGTGGTGGTGGTGGTGGCAGTGGTAATGATGGTGGTGGTGGTAGTGGCAGTGGTGGAGGTGGGGGTGGTGATGACGGTGGTGAGGGGGGGCAACGACGACGGTGGCAGTGGCGGTGGCGGCAGTGGTTGGGGGTGGTGGTGGAACGGTTCAAAACAATATATATTTTTTTAATGTACTTATGAGAATTAATTCCTATAAACACTTTTAAAAAATTACTCTAAACACATCCTTAGGGACTAATTTTTTCTTATTAAATTTGAAGTTTTAATATTAATCGTTAGATTAACTTTAAAGTAAAATTTAAAGCGATCTCAACTGCGAATAACAAAAGTTATTTTGTTTATCTTTTGAAATTTTAATTGTAAGTTATTTTATTATATAAACACATATATATATATATTTAAATAAAAATAATAAAAATTTAAAATTAAAATTTTGAAATTAAAAAAAAAATTTTTACCTTTTTAACTAAGGGTGAAAAATTTCGACTCAATACGATGATACAACTTAAACTCAATACGAAAATAAACAGGTCAATTCGCAACTCGACACGACACAATTAATTAAATGAATTAAATTAGGTTTGACCAATATTTAACAAAAATTCGTAGATGACTCAACACAAATCAAACATGATACGACTTGATTGTCATCCATAATTTTAGCCCGCACTAAAAAAAAAATTAGTTATTATTATTTTTCATCCATCCAACCAAACACAAAAGAAGGAAAGTGTATCCTTTCTACTTTTCATACTTGAAGGATTGAAAGTGTATCTCTCATACTTTCCATCCACCCTACCAAACAGAGCATAACCCAAAAAAAAAGGGGTGCAAAGTTAGAAAACAAAAGAAAAAAGTGAAAATTTGAACAATTTTGAAAGTTAAAGGGGTATTAGAATGTAGAATATTTTGATAGGGAAATTTATAAGAAAATAAAATTCTGAACTGTAGTCTGGATCAGATTGAGATTGCTATCAAATTATAACATTAAGGATATAAATTAAAAATTTTAATATTTGATGGTATAAATTAAAAATTGAAATATCTTATTGAGGGTGTCAAGTGAGATTTACTAATTTTTTTAAGGAAAACAAAAATTTATTAAAAAATGGACAAGATATGATTGTATTTGTCAAGTATATGACATGTAGCAAACGCATGACACCATTAATTATGATATACAGAATTATTATTGTAAGAATATAATAATTAAAACTCACAAAGAAATTTTAAAAAAAGATATGAAATAGTAGCTTAAAAAATCCATTGTATTCGGCTACATTGTAGTTTAGTGGGCACACAAGTGCTTAGGCTTGAGTTGGACGACTAGAGCGATAGTCAAATAGTGTTTGTGTCGTATCTCAAGTCTTTATCTTTTCATATTTTTGATAATTACAAACTTGACTTTAATCAAATCCAATTAAGTATTAGATATCTTAATGTAATATAAATATGATAGTTCTATAATTTGTGTCGTGTCTGAATTGGTTCATATAGTGCATGAAATATAAACACATAATATGCAATTTTTTCTCCCTCAACTAGATAGATTATAGAGGGTCCCATCATCAACTAAACACCTTAGTCAACCATTGCACCAACAAAATCAAATAAAAGATAATTAATTATATTAAAAAATGTTCAAGTGATGTGAAAATGATACCAAATAAACATGACATTGTGTTGTATAGTATCTATTAAATAAGTTTAGCATATTAAAAATCACATCACACTAAACACTGGTTTCCACTACTAACTAGTGTCACCGTGATGTTTGAAAGAACTTCGGTGGTAGCACGATCGAGATAGAGAAGAGTTATAAATTCAAAATTTTTATAGACCAACAATTTTTGAGTAATAATACAACAAACAAGTACTGCAATATTATGCATGCATAAATATTCGTAGACAATGAATATTTAAATTTTTGTAGAAAATTTTATAGCATATTACTGTCTAAAACATTACATGCATAATCCACAGATGTTCTACCAGATCAATTTGGAGTCTCAAATGAGTGTTTCTGTTTCGAATGCGATATTGGGTATGAATAAATTGAAGCAGTTCTGAACTTTGTTCAAATATCAATGTAAGAGTAGGAATTTCATCTGATGCATCATAACTAAAGTTTATTTCATTACTGTCCTTCTCATCCTCGACAATCATGTTATGCAATATTATACATGCCTTTATAATATCCTTAAACACTTCAAATTTTTAGAAACGTGCAAGTCCACCAACTATAGCAAATCGAGCTTGGAACACTCCAAAAGCTCCTCAACATCCTTTCTAACTGACTTTTGAGTTTGTGCAAAATTTATTTGCTTATTGTCTCTTGGAAATGAAATTATTTTGACAAACGTGACCCACTTTGAATATAAACCATCAGCAAGATAATATCTCATTGTATAATCATTTCTATTGACGGAGTAATTGACCGAATGAGTCCTACCTTCCGAAAAAAGAGTAAAAACAAAAGAGCGTACTAGTACATTTATATCATTGTGAGATTTAGATAATCCAAAAAAAACACGTTAAATCCATAGATCATATAAAGTCATCGCCTTTAAAATAATTGTTGGTTCATGAATATGACCAAAATACATACATTTTCATGTTGTTGAACAATTTTTTCATCTCCAATGCATGCAGTCAATGCTACCTACCATCTCAGGAAACCCACGTCTCTTACCGATTACTAATAATCTAACAATGCTTGCGTTGTTTGGTGACTTGAGATACTCATTAACATAAATTGTTACTATGATCGATACAAATTTTTGCAGATTTTTTTATTGTGGTGCTTTCGTTAATCCTTACATAATTATCAACAACATCTGCTACAACTCTATAGATAAGAATTCTTATAACGACAATTATCTTTTGAAGGGGAGACAAGTCAATATTTCCAACAACATCCTTTTTTTAAACAAAGTATGGATCAAAAACTTCCACCATGGATAAAATATAAACGAAAAGAGATCGATTCATGCGAAACTTCATCCTAAATAAATTTAGGAGATAGGTAGGCGATTTAGCAAAATAATCACGATAAGTCTCTTATGCCCTTCAACTTGATTGAGAAAAATAATAGAATGATATTGAATAGAATCATGACATATTGCGGAGCTGTTGTCAGTATTGAGTTTCTCCATTTTCATAGCATTAACTGTTAACATCTCCACCTCATCATTGGAGTCAAAATCATTAAGAATCATCTTCAATTTACCATCACGAGCCATAGCAAAGAAATTTGAGTTCAATACCAATAAAATAAATTTGAGATATATGACAATGATAAGGGACAGTTCTTGTTTATACATTTTAAAAAATATGACCGTTGTAAAATTTAAAATTTAAAAATTTGATGACATGACACAACGTGTCATCATGCTTCGTCATCATTATGACATTTACGTGTTACGTCATGTGACATTTTTAAATTATATTATTGAAAAGTTAGTTAAAATTAGTTAGATAAAATAGAGAGCGTGGTTTGAATGAATTTTAAAAAGTAGTTAGTTAAAGTAGATAATTTAATATTTAAATATATTTTGAATAATTATTTTGTTGAGTGTGGTTGTAGATGTTTTTATTGGACTGTACGACACTGGCCAACATTCTGGGTTATGAAGGAAACTTTGTTTTCTCCTACCTCAGTGTCTCTATTTGAATTTTTGCCCCTAATCCGTTTAATGTAACTGAATAAGGTTAACATTAAAAAAAAAAAAAGGATGCAAAGATAGAAAACAAAAGAAAAGTGAAAATTTGAACAATTTTGAAAGTTAAAGGTGTATTAGAATGTAGAATATTTTGACTGGGAAATTTATAAGAAAATAAAATTCTGAACGGTAATTTGGACCAGGTTCAGATTGCTATCAAATCATAACATTAAGGATATAAATTAAAAATTTTAATATTTGTGGGTATAAATTAAAAATCAAACTATTTTATTGAGGGTGTCAAGTGAGATTTACTCATTTTTTTTAAGGAAAAAAAAAGAATTTTATTAAAAAAATGGACAAGATATGATTGCATTTGTCAATTATATGACATGTAGCAAACGCATGACACCATTAACTATGATATACAGAGTTATTGTTGTAATAATAAAATAATTAAAACTCGCAAAGATATTTAAAAAAATTATGTGAAAAAATACTATAAAAATCCATTGTATTTGGCTACATTGTAGTTTAGTGGGCACACAAGTGCTTAGGTTTGAGTTCGACGACTAGAGGGATAATCAAATGGTGTTTGTGTAATGTGTCTCAAGTCTTTATCTTTTCATATTTTTAATGATTACAACTTGACTTTAATCAAATCCAGTTAAGAATTAGATATCTTAATATAAAATAAATATGATGGTTCGTGTTTGAATTGATCCATCAAGTGAAATATATACACATAATATGCAATTTTTTCTCCCTCAACTAGATGGATTATAGAGGGTCCCACCATCAACTAAACACCTTAGTCAACCATTGCACCAACAAAATCAAATAAAAGATAATTAATTATATAAAAAAAATGTTCAAGTGATGTGAAAAAGATAACAAATAAACATGACATTGTGTTGTACGGTATCTAAGTTTAGCATATTAAAAATCACATCACACTAAACACTAACTAGTGTCACCTTGATGTTGGAAAGGGTAAATTAAATAATCATAACAAATTAAAATTATTTAATTTAATCTTAAATTACGATTAATTGACAAAAATATTTTGCATTATATCTAGGGTTATTTTGTCTACATATAAAATAGGTACACAAGTAATACAATATAGTCGTACCATTGAAGTAATTACAATACCACCTGAACACGTATTATTATAATACAATACAACTGTATTTTATTATATTTTACTAATTTGTCTAACAAATAAGTAAAAAAATAAATAACTAGATTAGATGGATAATTTTTTTATTAATATGTAATTATTACTCTATTATCTCACTCTTAATTCATTAGATATTATTTTTTTTTCTATATTTAATTTTATATTTAATTTATTTATATAAAATTAATCCAATATTTTAATCAATATGCACTTAACGTGACAGCAATTCTAAACACAAGAAAAAGGAAAATGGTGGCCCAAAATCAATCAACTGGCTTTCTAATCACATGGCGGGGGCAGCAACATTCTCACCGTTCATCACTCTCACCTCTACCAAACTCCTCTCCTCACTCCCACCATCTCCAACATTATCTTCATCCCCAATTCCATCACTTCATCAACAACAATTTACCACTTGCCGCCATGGAAGCCCCATACTGCACATCTGCTACGGAAACGTATCTCCCTTCCCTCTCTCTCTCTCTCTCTCTTTTACTGTGCGATGTACAGAATAGATTCAGAATGTTGCAGCAAAGAAGTGATTGAGAGATTTTTCTTTGTGTTGACAGTTGAATGGTTTGACGGGAAAGGAAGCGGTGGGAATTGATGAAGCGTTCTTCGATGAAGAAGAAGTGATGGAGGAGGAGGAGGAGAGCGACGAAGACGACACAGAAAGCAGTATTGATTTGCTCTTCAGATTCTTACACAGCATGTTTAAGAAGGTTTCCAAGCGTGCTAAGAAGGCCTCTCGTTCTATGTTACCCGACATCATATCTCCCCAGCTGGTAAATTGCCTCTCTCTCTCTCTCTCGAACTGGAATTAATTTGGAATTTTAGTGTTAGATTCAAGATGTTGATACATGACTCTGGTTCTGTTGTAGCGTAAAAAGCAATCGAGAAGGGTCATTTTGGATTTAGGTAATCGAAATCGCATTATGGGGCTCTAGTTGTGCTTAATATTCGTTCTAATGTGAACGGACATAAGGAATGATATCCTATCCAATACACTTTCGTTTCAATTTTATTCTTGATGGATTACTTACCATTTATTCATGTAGAACCAATTGCATAAAAATAGATCCTTAGTTGTTAATGGTGTATGTTCCGTCAAGAAGAGAATCGGAGGAAAAAAAGTGTTGGAGGGTGTGATGGTTTAGAAAAGACTTGTGCTTTCATGTTTTGGAGGGCTAAAGAACCAACTAGGATTAGTCCAGTTAACCAACCCAATACATGTCATATAAAAAAAAGCAACAGAAGGATGGACGGGTCTAGAAGTTTGTGAGTTGATTTGTTCTCCCAATTGACCAGATGGTGTTATTGTTGACAGAAGAAATCCTTCTTTGACCTAATTGAGGATTCATCTTGGAGGCTCTTATTTTTTTTTATCTTTTCTTTCTGATTTTGCTTATTTGTGGATAGGTTCGAGTGGGTGAATCCGCCCTCTAAAATGAATGGAGATGAAACTACCTACTTATCTAACACTACTTACCACTTACCTCTTCTCAACCCCGTCATAGGTGCAACACTTGTGCATTGTATGCCATCCGTTAGCTCTTTTTTTTTTTGCCCTTTTGTTTCAAGTTTCGTTGTTGTGATTATTTATTTATTATTATTATTATTTTTTTTTTTTTGGGGGGGGGGACAGAGAGATATCCTAGTGTTTTATCCTGAAAAACACTAATAGACCTATAACCTGCCATTTTCATGGTATACTGGTCAAGGAGGAGTCCCTTACTTACAATTGGTAGTTCAAATTATGAGCCGATGCCTATATGATTCAGTTGAATCGTATTTGACTCGGCACCTTCCAATTCGATATCAGTTCGAGTTACGTGTAATTCATTAGTCTCACACTACTGGGTCAAGTCGTTGGAAACATCTTCAAGTCAATTAGGAGTCATTCAAGTAGTTGTCACTGAATTAACCGACACTGTTCTGGGACTCCGTGATTTTGTTGTGAACATGTTCAATTTTTTTGAAGTAGCATTTCGTGCGTATCACCTGCTACTGCTCTGCAAAGCTATGACTGATCCATCTCAATGCCCTTTGCGTCGATGGTCGAGACCGTGAAACTTGAAACATGGCTTAAATAAGAATGATTATGTTGGCACTCTACTTTCAATGCTCTCTCATGCTGACGTAGTCACAAAAGGATCGGCATTTGTCTTCTTTATGACCTGATTAGAATTTCCTCTGGATGCAGCCTATGCTTGTTGCCAACATTATTCAGGAGTAAGAATATTAACATACACAATGTTCAAGTAGTGAGGTCACTATCTGATGAGCATCCTCATGCATGTTTGGAACAATAGTTT